TGCTGTTATTCTTTTATTCTCATTGTACAGTCTTGTTGATTGCATTGTAATCCCTCACTTCCTCCTCTTTTAGTCCTATGTAATCATGTAAGCTTAAACTAATTCATTTTTTTCTAATGCACATTACTAAGGGCACAATCCCAGCATTCCTCAGATATCACTGCCCTTAGAGATTTAAAGATAAATCTTTAAATTGGAATAGGAAATGAATAGGCAGCCAATGCAGCTCGTTTAGAATTGAGACATTATGGCTCCACCTGGTTGTACCAAGTTCACTCCTGGCCACCACATTCTGCTGAAGTTTTTAAGTCATCTGGAAGGGAAACACCATGTACAATACGTTACAGAAATCAGACTGGAGGATTAATAGAGTGTGAACTGGCATGACTGTATTGTCCCTGCACAGAAATGATTAAAGCTGGTAAAGGAGCTGGAGCTGGTGAAAGGTACTCCTAAGCATGGATCTCCTGGGCCTCTGGTGACTTGACTGGGACAAGGTATGCCACCGAGTTATGACTGGACTCGACAATCACTTTCATCTCCCACTGAAACAAAAGAGTAATATCAGCAGATGACAAATAATTCTATAGACTGTGTTTCCTGATTCATTTTTTTAGGGTGGCTGACATTTCTCCTTTAAGAAGTTCTCTAAGATGTATAAGAATTGCATAGTGCAAGGAGAGAAAGATCTTCTATATACCACTTTCCTTAACTGCAAGAGTGATGGAAGATACAGCTTGCCTCGCCTGCCACCCTCATCGATACAACTCTTTTTTCTGACTTAAAACATTAGAACAAAAATCTGGCCTGATTAGAGCAGTGTATATTCTCCAATCACTCCCCCCACCCCCAGTGAGGGGAAGGAAGAATTCTGGGTGGGCTGAATAGGGGTGTGTGTGGAGATTTAGCCTTCCCTTCTAGGTGTCTGTGATTCCAATAAGCAGGGCTTTCACAAGAGTAAGTAAAACTACTTTCCAGATGCTGACTAGAGAGCTATAGAATTGCTCTGCCCGAGACTTTTCTGTCTGGTAATTTGATATTTGATATGCATGTGCACTAGTCTTCAGTTATTTATTATTAATTCTATGTTTCTGGCATGTGTATGGAAGTGTTTTAAAGCTTTTATCTACTTTATTCTAGCAGTAATATAGAACAATCTTTTCAATGCTTTCTGGCCAAGCCAGCCCCCGAAGTGGTTTTTAATGTTAAAAGAGACACTTTTGCTATGACTCTCCCCACTCCACTTCTTCATGCTGCATCTACCTGCCTTCTCTTTCAGCAAGTAAACAGGGTAGTAGGCACAACGATCAGGGAATGAACCAAGGGACGGCATGTGTGTGTTGTGGAGGCCGGATGCCTGGAGCCCCTTCTGCTGCTTTTCTTTCCATGGGTGTTTTCCATCGTGAACGGAACAACGACACTCCCTGGGTCTGGCTGTCATGACAGACAGTTGTGGTAGGCAGAAACCATATGACTGACCATTGCTTCTTGTGGTGATTTCTGGGCCTGAAACCAGCCATGGGATGATACCACAACTGGGTTCAGATGACACAACAAGTCCAGGATGGTAAAAACAAAAACATGATTGCTTGTCACACAATCATGTGTGATTAGGAGAACCTTTAGTTTGGCCCCATGAGGGGAAATGGTATGGAGCCATCTGGGCTGTCTGTCTCTACTATGTGCAGAGTGGATATTTAGAAATAAAGTTGAATCTTGCGTGAATTATGAAGTCTCTAATAATATCAGTCAGTCTTACCCCTGAAAAATCTTAAGGAAACGGGGTTTGTGGCATGATAAATTTTACCTGTTCAGAGTGTTGTGCTTAGCTGCCAAGCAATAAAAAGCTTTAAATATTGGTAGGTGGTCCGAACTCTGTCACACGGTAATGAGTGTCCAATGGGAAACTGACAGATAGATGTATTATGAATCCTGCTAAGAACACAAGTCCAAATGAGGTAATTATTCTCATTACATACAGTGTCATTATCCTTTCTAGCTAAGGCAAAATTTATTATGATGCTAATCTTTTCTTGGATACATCAAGTTTCCTGTGAATTTGGAACTGAATTCTCCTAGTAATATTGTTTATAACTGTCGTATGTTGTAATTTTAAAAGTCACTAGGGTTTTCTTTTTAAAGAGTAATCTTTGGTGCAATATAAATACAGAAGCCTGCTTTTCATCACCATTGATTAAAAAAACATTTTTAGGGTCTTAAAAAGCAGTTGATACTCACAAAAGGATTACATTTTGCTGTTTCATATCTGCGTAGGTGTAACATTTTATGCAATGTCTCTTAATGCTGCCAGACCAGACACTTTGTTGCTGAACAAATAAAGTGCTTTAATCCATTTATTTTGCCTCTCGTTTTTGCTCACAAGAACAAAATCAGTAAATCTGCATATTAAAGTTTTCTGCTGTAAAGTGTTTGAACTCTTCATAGTATCAGCAAACGTGGCAAGCTGAGTGATACCAAATAAGGCCAGGTATACTGTTTGGCTTTGTGAAAAAATTATGCAACGTATTGTCTTAATCCCATATCCCTCTGCACCTTGTAAAAGAGGGTCTGTCCAAATAAATGTGGGAATTCCAAAGCAGTGAAAGACTATAAGGGTTGCATTCGTAAAAGTATTTGCTGCTGCAACTTTGCTGATTTCTGTCATCATCCTCTTACCTTCCTAGCGGACTTGCCAAATTAGCCAGAAGCCACCAAAAGCTTCTTCTGCTACTACCCGAGGGGTTTTCTCAGGGGAGGGGGCACCACAAGGAGGACTGATGCTCTTCTGTTGCTGCGCACTATGGCTATCAAAGAGCCTCCACTGCTCAAGCAGGGCTCAGACCCTGAAGGGCAATGCAGAGGGTGGGAAGCTGATTGGATGCCCTTGCACCGTGCTTCAGAGGAGGCCACTCAAGGTGGCCTCCCAGACCAGAGTGTCCACTCCCAGCTCCTGCCTGCTGCTCAAGTGGAAGCTGAGAGGGCAGACCATGGGCTGGGTGGGGAAGCTCTGGGAACAGGACATCCCCACAGAACCCGCCTCTCTCCTGCCTGAGCAGCTGATTCCTAGGTAAGAGTGAGGACAGGAGCTTCATGCGGATGGCTTATTCTCAGAGCATCCCTGCCAAGCCCATAACTCTGCTTCCCACTCTTGCCTGGTAGTGACCCTCTCAGGTGGGAACTGGGCAGGTGGGCCAGGGATGCTCTCACCATGGGGCAGCATTGCCCACTTGTCACTGACTCCTGCTGTAGAGTAGATCCCTGGTGATGCCCCAGGCAGCTGCACCTAACTGGGCCAGTGTGAAGCATATTCTCCAAGGAACCTTTTGGTAAGAGCAGCAGTGGCTGCATTTTACCTGAAGGAGCGCTTGCATCCATATATGCCCAACCGCCCCTTGAGATCTGCGGGAGAGGCACTTCTCCGGGAACCCTCCCTGAAAGAAATTAGGAGGGTAGGTACTCAGAGGAGGGCTTTCTCTGCAGTGGCGCCCAATCTATGGAATGCACTCCCCAGAGAGGTCCGCCTGGCGCCGTCATTTGTTTTTCAGCGCCAGGTGAAGACCTTTTTATTTAAACGTCATTTTAATTGTTAACAATATTTGCTTATTTATCTGGCCAGGGCGACTTCTTTTATATTGTTTATTTATTTTATATTGTTAATTTTAATTTTTATATTGTTATTTTTGTATTTTATTGTATTTTATTGTGTTGTAAGCCGCCCCAAGGCTTCGGCAAAGGGCAGCATAGAAATGTTTTAATAATAATAATAATAATAATAATAATGATGATGATGATGATGATGATGATTTGTTCTGGGACTTTCCTCATAATGGCACTGCCAGCTTTGTTGGTGTAGTTTGAGACCCGCTGTGGAGAGAGAGAAATTTTTACAAGAAAACAGCAGGAAGGAGGAAGAGGAGTTGACCGTGTCCCACAGCTGCAAGCTTTTGCAAGCACACGCACTTTTGGAAAGATTGTTGAGTACTTGATCAGGGACAGAATTTGTGGCATAGCAGGACGTGCTGTGAAAAACTGCTCTGAGAGAATGATCTTAACTTAGGCAAATGCCTAAGCTGCAGTATTGGAGACTGGTTTGTAGCAAAACCAGGCTAAGTGCTATGAGATACTGGCACCTTCTGCTGTCTGTCCAGTTAAGAAAAGCACATGCAACAAAACTATAGCTGGTAAAAGTGCATGAGAGTCTTGCTTCCATTAGGAGCTACATCTGCAATGGTAGGCAATATGTCCTTTGTTTGCCCAACCATGTGTTCAGTCTGTTCCAGAGCACATGTAGGAAGAAAGCCAGGGGGAACAGGCTAAGGCATGTGCAGGAAATTGCATGTGCAAGTTGCAGAATTCTCTCTGAGCACCAAGCCTTATCAAGCCGAGTCTCTGGATGCATCATCAGCAACAGGAACAGATGCAGTAATGTTGTTCGGCCAATGGCCTGTGAGATTTCAGTGTGACGGCAGGACATCAGGCGATGTGACTATCTTGTGTGAACCAAACTCTGGCGCAACTTTTAGGCAGAATGGCCACTTGCTGATATTGTACAATAGCATGAAGGGAGCAGGGGAATACAGTCTGACACTAATAAATCCTCCAAACAACAATGGTAGCCAAGAAGGAAAGAAGCCAGCCTGCGAATATATTGCTTGGATGTATATAACAGACATTATAATGCGGTAACAGGATTTTGTTCTATGGAACTTCCTTAAATCTTGGATCATCGAAACAACTCTAGAAACTTATTACAGTGCTTCAGGTGCATAGTAAAAGAGAACTAGAGAGCTTACGGTCTAGTAAAAGACTGGACACCTTCCTGTGAGGGCACATCATCAAGACAGAGGAGTCCTACCCTCCCTCTATAAGCAGCACAGTCATCACACAGAAGCCATCAGGCAATAAAGGGATCTGGACAACCCCCCACTATTCAATCCAGTGCTCAAAGGATGCCAGTATGCATTGCCTACGACTCCTGATATCCAGAGCCACGGTTTGTGATGGCTGTGGTGGAGGAAGAGTCAAACAGATTGAGTGCACTTGCTACACCTTTAACCTGTTCTGGTCAGCTGTGCTTTTCCACAGGCCTCTCACCTGCATCTGAAGCGCCTCAGAGGAAACTACATCAGGAGCTTGAAGGCTTGCCTTGTGTGAAGATAGTTACAGATGACATCTTCATTATAGGAGAAGGGGTAAATGATACAGAAGCACAAAAGGACCATGATTTATAAGTTACAATCATACATTGCAAAAACAATGATGAAACTTAATCTGGGGGAAATGCAACTCAGAGAACAACTGGTACATACAGAGGGTATGTGCTGTCAGCTGAAGAATGAGAGATTAGATATCGTACTGCCCTGGAAAAGCTCTAGTTTTGGCAGACACACTGTGTGAGTTTTCATGACATGACAAGCCATAGTGATTTCTTGTCTGGCATGTCATCTGGTCTGGCATGTCATCTGAACATGGTATCTCAGGATGGTACATTTGGTTTTTAGAACACAATAACAAACAACAATCTCTTCTATGGTTTCCATGCCTCATCATGGCTTCTTTGATCTTTTGAACCCAACATTATGGTTTCCGTGGTTCTGGTTTGCAGCTCCCACAGAGTCCTTTGGCAAGAGTGGCAGCTGCTACAGGAGTTATTCCAGCCATCAAGTATGGGATGAAATTTCAGGCATGGTGACTGATGGGCTATGTGCCAACAGCAGAAGGACTGAGCAAGGAAGGTGGGAACCATTCTAACATATGAACCACTTAATCCTCTGTGGGCCCATGCAGGCAAAAATCCACTCGCCATGGAAACATTGCAAGGTTGCTTGTCAGAACTTATGAACCCAGTCACCCAGTCACATCCATCTACCCAGTATTACAGGCGCCATAGAAAGGGGTTAAGACAGTGAGTCAGTCAACATGATGTATTCCCTCCCAATCAGGACATGCTGCCTCTGCAGCCAACTTGATTTCCATGGCTCAAGTAGCCAAATGGGGTAATTTTGTATGGATGCCCTGCAAACAAACAAGAAAATAGTGTATGTAGGAGCAAAGCTATTCTTTCAGCTTAAGGAAGAACTTGCTGACACTGCAGATGAAGGCTCCTGCTTTGCCAGAAACAAACTCCAAGATACTGGGCAAGCCAAAAAAGCAAGGACACAAAATAGGTGAATGATCGAGCACCGACGTTTCAGTCCATTGAGGAGGCAGGCAGGCAGGCATGGCCAAAGCATATGCAAAGGTCAAAGCATGCTTAAGCAGCCAAATACATCACACGGTCTAGGAGCAGAGTCAAGCAGGAGTCCAAGAGTCCGTAGCACAGCACATCAATCCTCAAGGCAAGGTCTAGAAAGCAGAATGCAGAAGACACTTGAGCTGAGGAGCAGCATGGCAGACACCAAAGCCGTATATTGCCAGAGCTTGCTGAGCCCCACCTGTGGCTCAGCTGCTGCACATTACAGCTCTCTGGCTCGAGCCCTTGCTCAAGAGGAATTGCTTTCTCCTGCTGAGTCTGCCGGTGCGAGTGAGCACTCCTTCCCGCAGGAGCCAGGCTTGCAGGCCACTTGTGGTGGCGGTGCATCTGGGGGCCAGGAGGTGGCTTGGCCTTGGCCTCAGTCTCAGCCTCAGAATTGGAGTCCTCTGACCTGGGAGAGAGGGACCCATGACCTCTCTCCAGTGCCAGGCTAGTCTTTTGACAGGGATGGTGCAATGACAGCCACTGCTGGGAGCTCTAGTTCTTCCTCTGCAGAAAAGTTCTCCAAAAGGGACATGGCACATTTTCTCTCTGGGCAAGCAGAAAGGGGCAGCTCCCCTCTCCACACACAGGCCTTCTGCTGAGGGAGGATGTAAGGCAGGATGACAATGAAGGATGAGAAGGTGCCCCTCTCTCCCCAGAGAAAACAGAGTGGGTTGGTGCTTCCTGCTCTTTGGACCAGGGCTTTGTGGAGATACCTCCACCAGGGCCATGGGGGTGGGAGGTTCCATATCTTAGCCTTATTGCCACATGTCCCTCCCACACAATCATGGGAGCGAGTTGATATGGATCGATTCACAGTAGATTGCTTCCAGAAAATGGATAGTCCACAGCAGCCTTCCCTAAGTTTGTGCCTTTTAAATATGTTTGAACTGCAACTCAGAGAATTCCTGGTCAATGGCCCTGCTGGATCCAAATGGTCCAAATGCCCCTGAAGGCCACTGGCTTGGGGAAGGCTGGTCTACAGGATACAGAGAGATGGTCTGGCAGGTAAAGCTACACTTTTCCAGGTGTGGGATGTACCTGTCAGTGCTTATAGCTCTCCAGTTCATATGCAATGCATATTCATAGCAATGTATTTTTGACCAATTTTACCTCTTCCTCAGCATATCCATGGAGTAATAGAAAAATCCAGCTATATTTTAAATGGCTGCATAAAGCTGTTGCCCTAGAGTTGGACCCTTACTGGCCCATTGAAATTCTCCATCACACAGAAGTCATAAAAACTCCTGGTGGAGCTTCAGAAACCTTCCATTTAAATGTCTGTCTCAGTGTCACAGCCATTTCAAGGGGTTAATACAAAAAGTTTGCCAATGGGCTCAGAGATGTTAGTTGTGTGTCAGAGCACTGCCCATTGGTGTCTGGGGAAAATGGTAGTTTGCACTCCTTCTGATGACATGGGTTCTGATCCACAAAAATGGCTATATGCCACAATACCCGTTATTCTTTAAGCTGCCACAAGGATCTTCAGTGCTTTTGTTCTATTGAAGTTACTTAAAAGCAATTTTCAATAAAGGGTGTCAAGGAGAGCCCTGAAAGGTCAAGCAGTAACCCTTTTTTAAAATGCCAGTGGGAGAAAGAGATGGCCTTCAGGCACAATGGAGAATACCTCAGTGCCAGCATCCCCAGGGTAGGTTACTTCTGATATCTACTATGACAACTCCTGGAGGTGGCAAGTGTATTTCCTGCTGGCTCCGACACCAGGGACATTTCTGATGAAATGATGCTTTCTATTAAAAGGCAGACACTTTTTATTCCTGGCAGTGTAAGCTCCTTTAATGCATTCTCTGATTCAGTGGAATATTGAATTCTTAGAGTTCGGTTAAGCTTCTCTGTGGGCTCTAAGGATGATGATTTTTCCACACTGAGCGGCTTAGGCTGGTTATCAGGTGATCCCTTAGTCCATCTGTGCCATCGGGATGATATTTCCATTTGCATGTGTGTGCAGAACAACAAACAGAAACTCTCCCCTGGGCCCCTGTGAGTAGCGCTCTTCCGAGCCCCTTCTCCACCACCCACTCCCAACCTTTATTTTCTAAGCCTGTGATGCTCCTGTACCTACTGACTCTGAAATCAATGAAACACTTCCAAGTAAATCTGAATTAGATTATTCTTGAAAAGTGACTAGGAGACATTCTTCTGAACATACATGGTACTGTTTGGGCTGTGCATTTCAGGTCACAGTGTTTCGCACTTACTCCAAAGAAAGTTCTTTCGAACTAAGTTGGACACATTTCTTAGTTAATATGCCAAGAATTGTACTATGCACCCTAGAGAACTGAGGAGGTATTACTTCATTTCCTTAGACTAGATTCCCTTTTTGGTGGCAGCCAGACCATAATAGGGAATCTGGTCCTCACTCCTGGAAAATAATTTGAACATATTCTTAAAACAATTTGAACAGTGAGCTGGTTGATGGTGACTTCATTCTCTCTCTCTCTCTCTCTCTCTCTCTCTCTCTCTCTCTCTCTCTCTCTCAAAGGGTTTGTTTTTGTTTTTACATCACCATAGATAACTTTCAGCAACAGCAAATTAGTTCTGGGCTATCAGGTTAGGTAGTTTAACAGATGTGAATATTATTATTTTTATATACTGGTGCCTTAGACATGAGAAGTTTAAAAAGGGTGATTGCAGTATTCATAAATCAGAGCAGAATAGAAACAGCAGGCTTGCAGTACGTCCCATCAAAGAGCAATTTACCTTAATTTGAGGGGATATTTCAGTTATGTTCCTATATTTTCCAAACACTCTTGCTTTCTTCTCCCTTCTTTCCTCTTCTCCCCACCCCTTTCCTGGAGAGAGTCTGTAAACCATTCAAACTTTATTTAATGAAAGGAGGAAGCAGGAAGTAGGACAAAAGAAAGACTCCTGGGGTACATGAAAACAGGAAATCAATAGAAATCAAGGTGTTTGAAACACCCACATGCAAGCCAGGAAACCATAAATTTGTCTCCTAGTGGGAGGATGCTACTAACATTCTCTTTTGTGGCCAATTCAGCCTTCCAGATGTTTTAGGAACTGAACTCCTGTCTTGCCAGGGTTCTTTTATTTGGATCCAGAAGCAACAAACACTCCAGTGGGTGGACAAAGATTACAGTGCATTAACAAAGCCAGATAACCCAGTGCTCTATGCTCTTGGCTGTAAACAGGCCCCAAACAAAATGAAACAAAACAACAACCCATAGATTTAGCATAGCTTACAGTATCACTGAGCAGGGTTGCTACCAGAAGAGAGGTCACAGAGAGCCCCTCGTCAACCAGCACACAGCACCTACTCAACGCCAGCTTCTGTGGAGGTTCATCACTTGAGGCACTCTGAGGACTTCTATACCTGCCATTCTTTAAGGCCTAGATGTCCTCATAATTAAACACACCTGTTTCCAAAGGCCAGTTTATCAGCCTTACGACCAGGATACTGTCTCACGCCTCCAATAAAATAAGTCGAGCTGAATAGCCGGCAGCCAGCTTCGCATATCTCGTGGTACCTCCCATATTTCAAGATAACAGATCCTCTCTTATTCCAGAGCAGCACGTGTTTTGCAGAGATGCAACAGCTGCAGATTGTTTAGAATTTAAGCCACAGGCTCTCTTCCAAAAGATGCAGCATGGGAAAAACAGTGTGTGCCATGCCCACTGTTTCCTTGCGATATAATCATCTTCTAGTGCCATTTCCCATACAACTCTTGGCCTTCTGGATCGTTGGTCATACTGGCAGGGGCTAATAAATGTAGTGAGGTTTATGTTTAAAGTCTTTTTCGGGTCATCACACAATACCAAGGAGTGAGCATCCTCTGCATAAAATGTGCTCTTCATTTGGCATTTTTCTGGCATATGTTTGTGAGGTGTTTGCATGACAATGGTTTCTGTTTTCTTGTTTCTCTTAATAGAATGTCTTTAATCTTCTCATTGATTTTGACACCTTCTGTTTATACTGGCTGCTATAATCCAGAACAAGAAATAATATGCAGGCAATGCAATCCTGAACTTATCTACTCAGAAGTAGACACTGAATATGGAGTTCAGTAGGACTTACTCCTGGGTAAATGTGCTTAAGTTTGCAGCCTTGAGGGGCCTTTTTGTTTTTGTTTTTAACCAATAATCACTTGATTCATTAGAAAGGGATGCATCCGTGCTAAGATAAACTCCAGTATTTCTATTTATCAAGAACCCTCCTTATCTTTTATTGCAGACTGGAATGGATCAAACTCTAACATCGTTTTTGTCAAAGAGCTCAAACAGATGCGAAGTCCCACGAACCTGAACTGAAAGGATATGCTGCCACCTAGTGGACTATTGGAGAAACTTCTCTGTACTTGGAATTGCTAGGAAAAAGGGACCGTGCAAACTGCTGTAGCTGCTCTTTCTGCCACCTGTGAATAACGCTGCATGGATCTGTTGAAGTGAGTTTCAA